ACTGGCTGTCACCTGACTACTGTACAGCTTACTAATTTATTTTCAGCATCATTTCACTTCTAAGGGCCTTAGTCATACATGACCTTTGGTCATAAGATAAGAATGTCATAACAATTTTTTTTCTTTCTCGGAATGTCCACAAGACAGGACTGTCTTGCTCCACTAAACAGGCCTCAGGGCTCTAAATGATTAAAAGCCTATGTCTGCCTCTCCAAGAAGGTATTAACCACTTATTTAGTCTTCCATGTCATTCTTGTTTACAGAAATGCCATTTAAATCTATTCTCTTCCCAGACACCTCCCCTTTTAAAATGTCCACATGTCTGTCTGTCTCATTCCAGCACATGCTCAAGAATTTTTTCTGTCTTCACTTTGGAAGGTTCACGAAAAGTGGTTTTATATCATGAGCACCTAACTCAGACTGTTGGCCCTGCCCAGAATACCTTCACTCCCACTCATTACCCAATTACTCACCTTTAAGGCCTCAAACAAAACTTTACTTCTTCAGGAAGCTCTTTCTGATGCTCAGATTCAATCAGGGTCCTATGACATAAGCTTCAAGAGCATTCTACATTTCACTATGTAAACTCCAGCTTGCAACATAATATTTAGAAGGTTATTTATTTCAAGTCCACTAGAGAGTTGGCATATGAGAGATAGAGCCATGAACGCTTTCTTCCCTTTACCTGACTCGGTATCTTGCACAAAGTGGAGAAAATATATTTGGTCTATCAAAATAAAAATGTAATGGCCAAATGGACAGTGGATGAATGTATGGCTTCATTTACATAGTGTAAGAGTTAACATGGCTTTTCTCCATCTATCAGGATGATTGGAGTGCAGGCCCTGGGCGTTTGGTGAGTGCTTATGTCTCTGTGCTTCTATCCTCATGTGTAGAATAAGAGTAATAAAGGTATCGTTTGAGGGCAGTGTGGCTTAGCTAGTAAATGTGCTTGCCACTGAAGCTGATGACCTATTTGGATCTTTGGAACTCACAAGGTAGAAGAAGAGTGCTGACTCCTGAAAATTGTCCTTTGACCTCTCCCTGTGTGCATGAAACTCCCACCCTCTCCTATAAATGTACAATAAATGTTTCAGAAAGGATTTTTTATCATATGTGTCTGAATGTTGGCTTATATGTATGTATGTGCATGTTGTCCATATGGTGCTTTGAAGACAAGAAGAAGGCATCAGATTACCCTGGAACTGCTCTAATATATGGCTCTGAGCTGTCATATGTGTGCTGAGAACCAATCCTCAGTCTTCCAGAAGAGCAGTAATTGCTCTTAGCCACCAAACTATCTTTATGACCCAGGAAATGTTTTGTCTTTTAAAAGATCTTTTTGGGATACTTTATAAATCTTGAAGTTATCTTATGGGAATTTAATGAAAAATAAAAATAAATCAAATGGTATAGTGCCTACCATATTGCAAGCAAAATTAGCACATGCTAGCCAGCACCTTAAAAAGCCACTTCTCTCTAGAATTGTTTCTTATGATCACTGCATCCAGCTGCTGCTGTCTGAAGGCTCTTAACCTGCCTCACATTAATATAAATATTTAATTTAATCTTAGCTTATTTTTAGAGTTTATTATTTTGTGACTCTTAGTTGTTCAGGACTGTTTTATTGATTAGGTATAAAAGGCTCTGTGCCTGTATGACTTGTAGAGACCCATAGAAATGGTTTATTCTAAAATTAGAATGGGGGAAAAAACTTTACATAAGAGAGTATTTTAACACATAATATTAATATATCTGCCTGTATGTCAATGTGGTTTTGTCTCTGTGTGTGCGTGTGCGTATGTGTATGTGTGTGTGTGTGTGTGTGTGTTTACATTTTTGGAGACAGGTTTCTGTATAGCCCAGGCTAGCCTCCACTGTCTGCTTCAGAGCAGTTCTGGGAAGTGCTGATATAGGTTGGTGGCTGCCATCCAGCTCACACACACAAATCCAGAGTGGGTCCTTCAGAGCTTTGCTCTAATATCAGCTTCACCCTCAGCAGCTGGTGACATGTCCAAGGATGGTAATATCAGGACTGCTTCCTCTTGGCAGCAACAAGGACTTATCAAGAGCTATCCCTCCCCCACTCACCTCCAGCCTCTCGCCCAGGCACCCTGCCTACCCCACAGTTGTCAGCATGTTACTGCTGCTTGGAGTGACTTATCAGATGATACAGGGACAAAGACCTCATTCTTTCTTCATCTGGCACCTCAAAGTGACATCTAGCAAACAAGACTTTAACAGGATTCCTTAGCTGTGTTCCCTACTAAGCTCCAGGGTTCCCCAAAGTTTTGGGGTTTTTCTTTGTTTTGTTTTGTTTTGTTTTTTCAAGACAGGATGCCTTGGCATCCTGGACTCCCTTTGTAGATCAGGCTGGCCTCAAACTCACAGAGATCCTCCTGCTTCTGCCTCCCTTTGTGCTGGGACTACAGCTGTGTGCCACTGCCACCATGCCCGGCTTCCCTAAAGAATTTTAAAAATGAGCCATGCATACCTGGTGAATCTGGTATACCCAGAATTTTTGATCCCCTATGGCATTTGCAAGGGCAGAGTAGAGGTTTCAATGCATGGTGGTTCTATTGTTCTGTGAGCAGAGGCTTTAAGCACAAAGATTAGCTTGGTGAAGGATTAGACCCCAAAGGATGGAATGGCATCTGCACAAGTGGGCCTCTCCATCAGTGACCATGTCCCAAACATTTCACAGATTTAATTCCTTTTGTCACTTAACACCCCACCTCCAGTATAATCTCTTCCTCCTCTTTTTCATTTTTCAAGGACATACAGGAAAACCCACAGAATCAACCAATCTAGGTTCCTAAGGGCTCATACAGACTGAAACCACAATGAGGGAGCCTGCATAGGACTGACCTGGGCCCTTTCCTCCAGAACTTGCTTTGTAGTCATAGTGTTTCATTACACTAATCGTAACCATAACTAAATCAATCACCAGCAGTGTGGGAAGCATGGCAGGCAGACAGGCAAGCATAGCAATGGAGCAACTGCTAACAGCTTATATCTGATCCACAAATAAGTGGCACAGAAAGAAAAGCCAACTAGGTATGGCACAGGCTTTTGAAACCTCAAAGACCACCCCCATAACTCACCCCCTCCAACAAGGCCTCAATTCCTAAGACTTCCCAAACAATGTCACCAACCACAGACCAAGCATTTAAAATTGATGTGCCAATGGGGGCTTTTCTCATTCAAAACACCACAGTGGAGACCTACGGTAATTGTAGGTGGGGCTGTACTATAAGGTGAGGTCTGAGAGAAAAAGAAAAAGGAGAAAGAAAGCTGAGCGTCAGCACTGATTGCTGCCCACTTGCTGACTATGGCTGCAATGCCATCTGGGTCCACAGGAGCCAACATGCCTGTCCTCACTGCTGTAACAGGCAGTTCCACATGAAGCCAAAGCAAACCCTTCTTTCTCTAAGTTGCTTTTGTCAGGTATCTTATGTGGAGCTGGGGTCCTGGTGAGACATATGCATGAGGAGCAGTGTGCCTGCCCATGGAGAGAGTGGCCTCTGCTGCTCCCAGTGCATAAGAGGGAACCACAAGTAACAGCTACTCAGTGTCACTTCCTTCTTTGTTGGTTCAGTATGGAGAACTCCAGTTCAGTGAGGAACTCCAGAAAATGTTTCAATTGTTGCTCAGTGTTAGATTTTGTTGCTCTTAAAGGCACAGCACCAGAAGTCACCGTGGCTGTTTTTCAGTTATCAGCCTGAGGGGAGTGAGGGCTGTAGACTCTCAACTCTAAAGTTGCCCAGGCACTCCTGTGTTAGTGGTTAGAGTACGGTGGGGGCACACAGGAGGAAGTACAAGGAGGAATGCTTGTGGTGTAAAGCATCCTGGAAGAAGTGGTATTAGAAATGGGCCACAAAAGAATTAGGATTTTGACAAAGCAGAAGCTGTGGAGATTCTAGCTTAAGGCTAGAAGTATTTAAAATGTTTCAGGTATGAGCTCCTGAAGACGCACCTAGGACATTTGTCACTGACCTACAGCCTCATATAATCCTTTCATCTTCCTTCCTTCCTTCCTCCCTCCCTCCCTCCCTCCCTCCCTCCCTCCCTCCTTCCTTCCTTCCTTCCTTCCTTCCTTCCTTCCTTCCTTCCTTCCTTCCTTCCTTCTGTCTAACTTCTCCCCCTCCCTCCTTCTCTCCTTCCTTTCCCCAGTTTTGAGAGAGGGTCTCATGTAGCTCTCTATATAGTCAAAGACGACCTTGAACCCTGATTCTCCTGTTTCTGCTTTCACACTGCTGTGTTTACGGTAACTTCGTTTTCTTTAGGTGCAGGGGGTAGAAACCAGGGCTTCCTGCACTAGGCAAGTACTCAACCAACCTAGCAGGTTCCCAGCCCCTCCTTATATGCTAATCTTTTAAACGTCCATTCTCTTCAGATTGCCTTGTTTCCTAACCCAATTTCCCTGAAAAGCTTGTTCCGCCAAGTCAGAAATACCAAGAGCCTGGGTAGAAATGCAAAATCCTGTACCCCATCCAGAATAGCTCAACCCAAAATTTGGGATTTCATTTGCTACAAATTCGAGATTGACAGATTCAGAGGGTGAGAGCCAGCTTTGGGGGCTGCTTCAAAAGCAGCATCGGGAGGGCAAGCCCACGAAGTTCCTGTCTCAGGCTCCAGTCCCACGGTGGGGCACACAGCTCTGACACTGCAGGCATCAGAGCACAGCGGTCGCTGTGACCTCTTCAGAGGTTTCTGTTAGAGTCCCGCGGGAGGGAGTACAGAAGAGCTGGTCAAAAATCACCCTCAGGCTTTTGTCTTGGCTAAGTAGAGCAGATCTGGCTGGGAAAACAGAGCAAAATGGTAAATGGTAAAATGCCGTGGCTGGGGGTTGTAACTGACTTCCTTGGTTGTGCACCTGAGTGAGGCAACCATCTTGGGGTCCTTGGGCAACCAGAGCTCACCAGATCAAGCCACTCCCAACTCCCGGCGACCGCAGCAGTCAGTCATCTGACTAAGCTGTTATTGGTCAGGTGACAGCGGCGGAGCACTTTAGAAGACGGAAGGCCAGCGCTAAGTCAGAATCCAGAACTGGCAGAGAAGGTGTCACCGGCTTTCCTGGTGACCTGCGGGTCCCAAAGGTCCCCAAACTGGCGCGCATGCGTCTCGCGCCCCTGCTGCTACTGCTGCTGCTGTTGCTCCTGCCACAGTCCTGGGCCGCGAGCACCCTTCGCTATGACCCGACGTGGGAGTCTCTGGACAGCCGCCCACTGCCCGCCTGGTTCGATCAGGCCAAGTTCGGCATCTTCATCCACTGGGGAGTGTTCTCCGTCCCCAGCTTCGGCAGTGAATGGTTCTGGTAAGTGCCCAACACAAACACTGGGCTTTGCGTCACCCACACAATGGCAGTCAGTAGCCAGCTCACCTGGCATGAGTGCTGCCTGCTTGTCACTGTTTTAGTCAATGATATGTTTGCACTTCCAGATGCTGAATACGGTTTCTTGACTGAGTATGTTGTCAACACTGAATATATGTGCTTACCTGAGTTCTTAGACACACTGTAGGTGGGCATGGCAATAGGGTGTAGCTCAATGGCAATGCCTGTGTGCTTAAGGGAGTGATGGTTCCAGAACTTTAAAAAGTGCCTCAGAGGGGCTGGAGAGATTGCTCAGCGGTGCTCTTGTAGAAGAGTTTGGCACCTAGCTCGGGCTCTCGCCGGCTGTAATTCTGGTTCCAGGGGAAGTCCGTGCTTCTGGACTCCACCCTCACATGCACACACCTACACACAAACACACATGTAACTAAAGACAAAGTAAAATACAATCTTTTAAAATAAGCTCTGTGGATCGCTCATAAAGCCAAGTTCCTTGCATACTAAGGTATTAAAAGCCTAAAGCAAATGAAAGGGGCAATAATAGAGGTGCATTGCCTCACTTCCCTTCATAGTCACATGATGGTAGACAGGCACCCTAAGCTTGCTCAGTCTTTAGCTTCTTCCTAACCAGAAAGCCAGTTTTCCTCTTCATTAGGAAATCCCAGAATCTGTCAGATCCACTAGCCAGCTTGGGTTGCTGTGATGGATGCTTACGAAGTGTGCTGTGACTTTGGGTCCGGTACAGGACCTGCTTCGTGCTGCCTGAGAGGTCTCGCTGTGTAGCCTCAGCCAGGCAAAGCCGTGCTCCACTTGGGGGAGGCAGTGCTCACTGTGGGATCTGCTCAGCCTATGGAAATGTTTCCTGCAGAGAGATAACCCAAAAGGTTTTCTGTTAATGAATAGGGAAGGTGCAGGTTATCTTTCAGGCTTGTTGTACTGTCTTGAAATCTTAGGTACTTAAGTTCTACAGTGAGCTAAGTGAAAGCAAAGATCAGGTCATGACTTAAAGTGAAGAAGTAGGAGAATCAGTGGCTGGGCTACCAGACGCCTTCACAAAGGAAAAGATGGAAAACAAAGCAAGAATTCTGTTTTGCACAAGCTGTAATTAGTGCACTCATACTGATAGATGAGAGAATCAGGCAGTAATCTTCCTAAGGGGGAATACCCAGTGAGCTCACGAAATTTCGTCAAGTGTTTATGTTTGTTTATTTATTTAATTTATGTGTGTGTATATATATTATATTTGTTCTCCTTTTTTGTCTCACAGGTGGTATTGGCAAAAGGAAAAGAGACCCAAGTTTGTGGACTTTATGAATGATAATTATCCCCCTGGTTTTAAATATGAAGATTTTGGAGTGCTGTTTACAGCCAAGTATTTTAATGCCAGCCAGTGGGTAGATATTATCCAGGCTTCCGGTGCCAAATATGTAGTCTTAACTTCCAAACATCATGAAGGTAAGTAGAGCACCTACAACATATGATGACAATGGGTAGGGAATGTAAGGATATTCTTTTGGGTCGAGACATTAAAGTAAGGTTGTCCAGCAAGGTGTGGTGGCATACAGGATTTAAGCCCAGCCCTCAGGGAGGCAGAAACAGGCATATTGCTGTGAATTTCAGGACAGCCTGGTCTACAAAGTGAGTTCCGGAACCCTGTCTCAAAAAAAAAAAAAAAAAAAAAAAAAGGCGAGGTCATCTTCCTATAAAACCAGGCTTCTCTCAGAATAACTGTTGGTTGATATTGACAGTTGCTTACAGCTTAAGGACCATATATCCCACTTCGACTGGAAAGCATTATGGATCCAGATAGCTAGCATTACAGAATGAGAAGAAAGCTGGGCACAATTTAAAAAACATTTTTTTCTAATTTCATATATTTTTAAATAATTTTTTATTTTTTTATTAATTATAGTTTATATGTTTTGTATCCTAGCTGTAGCCCCCTCCTTCATCCCTCCCAATCCCATATAGACATAAAAAGAAATGAACTTTAATTTCCATTAGGCTTATTGCTGAAGACCTTTTTGCCCAGAGTTTTTAGTCTGTTGCTCTCCTTGTGGAGTTCCTGTCCCCTCCAGGTCTTTTTTTTTTTTTTTTTTTGTATTAATTACAGTTTATTCATTTATTATTCCAGCCATAGCACCCTCCCTCATTCCCTCCCTCATCTCCTCCCATGCCCCTCTCCAAGTCCACTGATAGGGAAGGTCCTCCTCCCTTCCATCTGACTCTGGCCTATCATGTCTCATGAGGACTGGCTACATTGTATTCCTCTGTGGCCTGGCAAGGCCACTCCCCCCTCAGAGGGAGGTGATCAAAGAGTCATGTCAGAGTTCATGTCAGAGACAGTCCCTGTTCCCCTTACTAGAGAACCCACTTGGATACTGAGCTGCCAGGGGCTACATCTGAGCAGAGGTTCTTGGTTATCTAGGTTATAACCATGAATGGTTCTTGGTTGGAGTATCAGTCTCAGAAAAGACCCCTGTGCCAGATTTTTTGGTTCTGTTGCTCTCCTTGTGGAGCTCCTGTTCTCTCCAGGTCTTAGTATCTTTCCCTTCTTTCATAAGTTTCCCTGCACTCTGCCCAAAGTTTGGCTATGAGTCTCAGCTTTGATAAACTACTGGATAGAGTCTTTCAGAGTCTCTCTGTGGTAGACACCTGTCCTGTTTCCTGTTTTCTCCCTCTTCCAATGTCCAGCTCATTTGCCCTTCTGAGTGAGGATTGATCATCTTACCCAGGGTCCTCCTTCTTGCTTAGCTTCTTTAGGTGTACAGATTTTATGTTTATCCTATATTATATGTCTAATATCCACTTATAAGTAAGTATATACCGTGATACCTCACTCAGGATGATCTTCTTTAAATTCCACCATTTGCCTGCAAATTTCGTGATTTCCTTGTTTTAACTGCTGAGTAATATTCCATTGTATAAATGTACCACAAGTTCTGTAGCCATTCCTCTGTTGAGGGACATCTGAGTTGTTCCCAGATTTTGGCTATTACGAATAAAGCTGAACATGAACATGGTTGGGCACATTGTTGTATACTTGAGTATCTTTTAGATATATGCCTAGGAGTGGTATAGCTGGATCTTGAGGAAGCTTTGAAAAACTCCAACCTCATGTTATTTATATTCTCATTTGTTTGCTTAGATGAGTACAAGATAGAATGAAAAGTTTGCCAATAAACAGTTGTTTGGGGCAGTAGTGAATTTTGTGTTCTGCTTGAATTGAATATGTGTTTTCACGGGTTGAAATTTATCATCATCAGGGTGGTAATGCTCCAGCGGTACCGTGCTGTCATTTCCAGGCTTTACTCTGTGGGGCTCAGACCATTCTTGGAATTGGAATGCAGTCGATGAGGGACCGAAGAGGGACATTGTTAAGGAGCTTGAGGTGGCCGTCAGGAACCAGAGTGATTTGCACTTTGGACTGTACTATTCACTTTTTGAATGGTTCCATCCACTTTTCCTGGAGGATGAATCCAGTTCCTTCGAAAAGCGGCAATTTCCCATCTTTAAGACGTTGCCTGAACTCTATGGGTTAGTGAACAGGTACCGGCCTGACATCCTGTGGTCCGATGGGGATGGGGGCGCACCAGATCACTACTGGAACAGTACTGGCTTCCTAGCCTGGCTGTACAATGAGAGGTCAGTACACCCTTAGGCACCTCTACTTGCCTCGAATGCTGCTAATGTGTATAAGAGCATTTCCATTCCCGTGGCTTCACGCTCAATTGTGGTGTGCGAGGAAAAAAATCATTGTAAGCAATGCTGATTAGCTCAGTCTTCAGTAAAAATAATCAGGAGTCAAATACAACCAAACTGATTTTATAGTGAATTTCAAAAGACACGACTGGGTCTATCTGCTTCAATTTGTGAGTCAAAACTGCTCTTGTAGCTGGGATTTGTGGCACATGCCTGTAATCCCAGCACTCAGGGAGGCAGCTACAAAGCAAGTCCAGGACAGCTAAGGCTACACAGAGAAACCCTGTCTCAAAAAAACAAAAACAAAAAACCTGCCCTTGTAAGTGGATTCCCGTTCTCTCTACTTGGTCCCATAGACCTAGAAATTTGTTTTCATAATGTAAACACTCACTTTTTCAGACATTCAGTCCTGGTATGACTTGTCTTGAGTATACACGCAGCTTAGGCTGTCATTCACCGCACAGCATGAGAATGGGAATTGGGGTAGCACGTCGCCATCATGCTCACCATCGCCACTGGGCCCTGGTTATCTGCTGTCTGACAATAGTGAAGGAATTCATTCCACAGAGAAGACGGAAGAGTTTACCCCAGGCCTGGGAGCTGGAATGTGCTAGTCTAGACTCCAGTCACCACAGAGCTATTAGGCTTCAGAAACAAAGGCTTTCTCCTTTCTTACTGTGGTTTGCTGGGCATGGCTGTTTGCTGGGAGTGGCTGGAAAAGACCTGTTTGCAGTGACATTGCCTTTTGTTTAACAAATGCTTTTTCTGGAAGAGAAACTCCACTTCTCTTTTCAGCCCAGTTAGCAACACAGTAGTCACCAATGATCGTTGGGGAGCTGGTTCCATCTGCAAACATGGTGGCTACTATACCTGCAGTGACCGCTACAATCCCAGACATCTTTTGCCTCATAAATGGGAAAACTGCATGACAATAGATAAGTTCTCCTGGGGCTATCGGCGAGAAGCTGGAATCGGGGATTATCTCACAATTGAAGAATTGGTGAAGGTACAGTAAAACCTGTTTTGGGGCTATTACTCTGGAATATTCTTTTTTTTTTTTCTCTCTCCCTGAGACAGGCTTTCTCTGTGTAGCCTTGGCTATCCTGGACTCACTTTGTAGACGAGGGTGACCTTGAACTCACAACGATCCACCTGCCTCTGCCTCCCAGAGTGCTAGGATCACAGGTGAGGCCATCGCCCGCCCAGCTTGGAATATTCTTATTAATGAGGTAGTTAAAGGATTTTTTTTTTTTTTACAGTTTGGATTGTGCAGTGTCACAAACTCCAGATGTTTTTGGCTGTGGGTTTTTTTTTCCTATGAAATGTTTATTCATATATATATATATGTGTGTGTGTGTGTGTGTATTATAATATATACTATAATATTTAATATATATAATAAAGACATATTTATAGTATTTGTAATATAACTATATGCTATATTTATTATTATACATTATAATAAGTATATTTAATATATGATAAAGTAATATATACAGGAATATATATGGGAGATTAATTTTTTTTGTTTTAAAACTGTATTTGTTCCTAAATTTTTTAGCAACTTGTGGAAACAGTGGCATGTGGAGGAAATCTTCTGATGAATATTGGTCCCACACTAGATGGCATCATTCCTGTAATTTTTGAGGAGCGATTAAGGCAAATGGGAACCTGGCTGAAAGTCAATGGGGAAGCTATTTATGAAACACACACTTGGAGATCTCAGAATGATACTGTCACTCCAGATGTGTGGTAAGTTTTCATGTTTAACAAGTATTGTTTGATAGAGGAGAGCACTTAGTATCTGAGAGAGAGAGAGCAGGATAAAAAGACTAAATGTGACATTAAGTATCATTTCTGGGGTTTATCCACCATGATGCAAATCATACCATGACAGCTAATGTCTCTGTAGAAGTACATAGTATTTCTTATTCTGCCATCTTCTCAGAATACGGTTTTGGCTAACTTTAATTTATTGTTTGCTTTGCCATTGGAGATCTGTTGTATCACACATGTTCCAACTTGACTCAAATACAAAAAGATGGAATAAGAATGAGCATGTTGTTGAATATTACAGTTATCAAAAATCTGTTTAAATAATACATAAATATTTCCTAGTAGTGGGAGATATTTAGCTAAATTGCCTTTTGCAAAACTGGGAGATATTCGGCTAAGTAAAGCAAGCTGAGTGGTTAATGTAAAACAGACTAGTGTTTAGTCACTAGTTTTTTCCTAGTCTTGCAGATATTATATCTCATCAAATTAGCAAGCAAGAGATCCCCAAGGGCAAAGCAAATAGTAAATTTAGGTTGGGCCAAACAGGATTCTGAGAAATGGGTAGAATAAGAAGTACTGTCTACTCCTGCAGAGACAGGAGCTGTGATGGTAGGATTTGCATGCTGGTGGATAAATCGCAGAAACGATGCTCAACATCACATGAAGGAACTGGAGGTAAAATGCAAATAAATATACAACCAGAAATCATCTCACACCTTTTAGAATAGCTACTATTTTAAAAAGTGCAGCTGATGATCTTAGAGAGATTGGAACTCCTATCCACTGCAATTTTGTGAGAATGTAAAACTCACAGCTGCTGCGATGGGCAGTATGTCAGTCCCTCAAAACAGGAAAACAGAATTACTCCACTGCTCAGCAATTCTACTTCCAAGTATATATGCAAAAGAATGATACCAGAAGAACTATATTCCCATGTGAAAGCAGTGGAGTCCACTTATGAATGGCTAAGCTAAAGCAGGGCACACACACTAAGGTATATGTATATTATTCAGCTTTGAAAAGGAAGGAAATGCTAGAATACAGATGGAATTTCAGGAATTTGTATGGGTGAAATGACAGTCACAAAGAGACAAATATTATTTTTGTGGTATCTAGAGTGGTCACAACCCGAGGCAGGAGCGAGGGGGAGGAGAGAATGGGGACTTGTTTATGGGGTGTTGTGCCTTGTCAGTACAGTTAGTTCATCCTGTGTATCCTTACTCCTCTCTCCTTTCCTCTCATACTCACTAGCAGAAGCCTAGCATTGGTCAGATCCAGCTGCACCTTCCCAAGGCTGCCTTTGCACCGCACCCTGTGACCATCCCTGCAGTCACATATGTACAACGCCAAATTAGCTCACATTTGGCTTTAAGCCCAGCCCTTGTTCTCTTCCTCACATCCCAAATCTTCCAGGCAAAAATATAGCACACTTTTCTGTTTCCACAATTTGTCTCCAGACCCTCTTTTTCTTAGTTCCTTTCCTACCCATATATAGATGTTATTTATCTTTAAAAGTTTTCTCTCTCCAGCTACCTTTCGAGTCTCTTCTTTCATTCACAATAAAATAGCTTGCAGAACAGTTTTTAACTGTTACTTCTAGCTGGAGCTCCATTCTTTATCTCTTGATCTCACTTGGTTCAGGTTTCCATCTCACCCCTCACCAAATCTCTTTTAACAAGACTCACAGTGGCCTCTTCCTTGAAGGCCTGGTAGTCAGTGCCAGGTTTCTTGTTTCTTGAACCCACTGGAGGTATTGGCCTCAAATGATCAGATTCTTGGTTCTTCCTCGTTAGTCTCTTGTACCTGATCTTCCCAACCTCTAATCTTGAAGTGTCTTTGGACTTCCATGTTTCTATCTTAATTCTCTAGCTGGAATTTGGTGATTTTTAACCTCCTTCTATATCCACAGCTGTCTTAGGGTTTCTATTGCTGTGTAGAGACACTGTGACTATGGCAGCTCTTATAAAGGAAAACATTTAATTGAGGCTGGCTTACAGTTCAGAGGTTTAGTCCATTATTATTATGGAGAAAAGCATGGTGACATGCAGGCAAGGCATGATGCTGGGTAAGTAGCTGAAAGTTCAACATCCAGATCAGCAGGCAGCAGGAAGAGAGAAACTCTCGGCCTGGCTTTAGCATTTGAAACTTCAAAGCCTACACCCAGTAAAAGCCTTTTCCCAGTACTTCCTAATAGTACCACCATATTCCACTCCTGGCGCCCATAGACTTGTAGCCATGTAAAAATGCAAAATTCAGTCTAACTTTAAAAGCCTCTGACCATAGTCTAGCATAGTCTCAACTCTGTTTAAAAGTCTAAAGCCTCTTCTGAGACTCATGGCAATTTAGCTGTAATTCCTTATAAGTTCAAAATAAAAAAGCAGATCACATACTTAAACATGTAATAGCACAGAATATATATCACCATTCCAAATGGAAGAAAAGAAGGCATAATGAGGAAATACTGGACCATAGCAAGACCAAAACCCAGCAGGGCAAACTCCAAACTCTGCATCTCTATGCCTGATGTCAAAGCACTCTTCAGATCTCCAACTCCTCTCAGTTTTGGTGACTGAAGCCCACTTCTTTCTCTTGGCTGTTTCCAGTGTCTGTCAGCAGCTCCCCTCAGCAGGCATCCTACAGCTCTGACATCTCCAGCATCTTGGGGTCTCCAAGGCAATCCAGTCTTCACCTTTGCAGCTTTACACCCTAGGCCTCCACAGGGACACCCCTGCCACATACCTGGCCTCAGCAGCTTTACTTAGCCCAGAAGGGAGATTCCACAACCCCTTCTTGTATCCTTGACTCCAAAGCCAGAATCACCTGGCCAAAGCTGCCAAGTTTACTTGCTGGGCTGGAACGTGGGCCTTGTTCAAATACATTTCCACCAGCTTTCCATTTTTGATTGTTTCCTTCACTGCCAAAGCTTGGCTGTCCTCTGTCACTCATAGACCATGCTGGCCTTGAACTCCAAGATCTGCCTGTTTCTGCCTCCCCAGAACTGGGATTAAAGGCATGTGCTACCATGCACCACCCTAAACTTTAATTCTTTTTTACCTTTTTTTAAAAATTTTTTATTAATTACACTTTATTCATTTTGTATCCCCCCATAAGCCCCTCCCTCCTCCCCTCCCGATCCCACCCTCCCTCCCCTTTCTGCATGCATGCCACTCCCCAAGTCCACTGATAGGGGAGGTTCTCCTCTTCTTTCTGATCTTAGTCTATCAGTTCTCATCAAAAGTGGCTGCATTGTCCTCTACTGTGGCCTGGTAAAGCTGCTCCCCCCTCAGGGGGCAGTGATCAATGAGCAGGCCAATCAGATTATGTCAGAGGCAGTCCTTCTTCCCATTACTATGTAACCCACTTGGACACTGAACTGCCATGGGCTACACCTGTGCAGGGGTTCCAGGTCATCTCCACAAATAGTCCTTGGTTGGAGTATGAGTCTCTGGGAAGTTCCCTGTGTTCAAATTATCTTGTTCTGTTGCTCTCCTTGTGGAGTTCCCGCCCCCTCCAACTCTTACTATTTCCCACTTCTTACATAAAATTCCATTCACTCTGCCCATCAGTTGGCCATCAGGCTCAGCATCTGCTTTGACAGTCTATACTGCAGAAGCTTTCAGAGGCCCTCTGTGGCAGGTTTCAAGGTTGTTTCCTGTTTTCTTCTGGCTTTCAGAGGCCCTCTGTAGCAGGTTCCGAGGTTGTTTCCTATTTTCTTTTTCTTCTGATGTCCGTCTTGTCCTGAGGTCACCATTCTCTTTATTCCATCTAGTATCAGGCTTTTTCTTCAATCTTTTTATCTCTTTGTACACTAGACTTGACTCCATTACATTTTCTGGTGCTCCTTTCTCCTCAAACTGTACATTTTATACTTTTCCTTGCTCGGCTTGCTCCTTTTCATTATATATCTGCGTAGGTGTGGCCACTAATAACCACATGACACAGTCAGTGTGAGGCTATTTTGAAATATTTTTTGCCAAAGTGGTTAAATAACTCTTCAGTTTAGCTTCAGGCAGATTTTTTTTAGACCAGGACAAAAAGCAGCTACATTCTTTACAAAAATATCACAAGAACGGACTCTAGTTCATATCCTAAAATTCTTCTCTTGAAACTTCTTGAGCCAGTCCCCTACAGTTGAAGTCATCCTCAGGACCACTGTCCTCCATGCTCCTCCTACTAGCCTGGTCCATTAAGCCCCACTTAAAGTATTCAAATGCTTTTCTAATCCAAAATCCCAAAGTCCACATTCCTTCATACAAAACCTATCACAGCAATACCGAAGTTCCTGCTACCAACTTCTTAGTTCCTCCAACAAGGCTACACCTACTTCAACAAGGCCACACCTATTCCAACAAGGCTACACCTCCAAATAGTGCTCTATGAGGCTACATGGGCCACTGTCATTCACACCATTCAAACAACTGCCAATTCATCATCAGATCCATTGTGTTTATTTCTGAAATGTATTTATACTCTGGCCACTCCTTGTACTCTCTGTGATGGCTCTCCTTTGTCTCACCCCTGGATTTTAGTACCTTCTTGACTAATACTATTTCTGCCCATCCCTTTGTTTTCTCCTATTACCCATTTGGGGGTGGGGGTTGGGGCATGTGCATGTCCATTACAGGGCAACCTTAAGGTCAGTCTTCAGACACCTTCTACCTTTTGCTTGAGCTGCCAAGTTTTACTGGCTGCGGTTGGAATGTGGGCCCTTGTTCAAATACATTTCCACCAGCTTTCCATTTTTGATTGTTCCCTTACTGCTCAATGATAAAATTTACTGCATAGGCCAGCAAGCTGGCCCATGAGCTCCCAGGGCTTCATGTTGCATTGCCGAGATTTGAGGTATACCATGGTATTCAGATTTTGATGTGAATTTGCTGCACTGAAACTGAGGTCCTCATAAATGCAAGGCAAATCCTTTACCAACTAAGCCAGCTTCCAGCCCTTTCCCGTGTCCTTTTAATATAGTCTCTGGAGAGCAATCAGAGAAAACTATTGATTTATTTATGTTGTCAGCATTTCATGATGTAACCCAGGCTGTCATCATGCCTGGTTTAGAGGACTCCTGTACACAAATTTTTCCAAGGCGCCCAGTCTCAAGGGAGAAGTGGGGCCTTACAGTGGTCTCCTTGGCCCTATCAAGTCTTGCTCAGTCTCATCTCTCTGGCTCTCCCTCTCCCTGCCCCCTCCCTCCTGCTGCTGTATCTGCAGGCCTATCACACTAGTATTCCTTGGCTTTTGTGCTTGTTTCTCAGCCTGGAAGGCTTTCCCACATGTTTGCACAGAGCTTCCTGGTTTTTGGGTTTCTTGGTTGCCTTCCCAGAGAGGTAATCCCTGACTTTTCATCTCAGTGTTGCACCCGAGGCCTAGCCTTTCAAACCGTAGTATGCCTTGTTCTTCTGCATTTGTTTTTTGAGTTCTCTGTGTAGTCTTGGCTAGCCTGAAACTTGGAGAGCTCTGCCTGAGTGCTCGGATTAGAGAGATACACTCCCATGCCTATGCCCTCATATTTAGTCAGTACTTCATGTACATTCCTTTGCTCATTCCTCTTTATCCCTCTGGGATGTGGGCACATGAGGTCAGGGACTGTGTAATACAGTATCTCTAGCCTTACAACACGGATGACTGTTTACAGATTTCTGTAGGTATTGTTGAGAAATTGGGTGAATAATTGAATGGTTATCCTGTTATTGTTTCCACTATTCTCAGTTTGCTGTCACTCTCAGATTAAATGTGGTTGTCTTGGTAAAGAATCTGTCTGATGTCCCAATGTTAAAACAAAAAGTCTCTTTACAATTTCTTTTTTTTTTTTTTTCATATTGTGATTCAAAACTTATGCTTTGTTATTTGTGTGGTTGTCCGCCTTTTCCATTCTAGCCTAAGCCACTTATATAAAAACAAGAATTGTGCTTGGCTTTCTGTTTCATTCACCAACAATGAGCATACTATATACTGCTGTGATTTTGAGTCTGCAAGTGGAAAGCCATGCAGCTCCACTTAGCTTATTCTACACTCTGTTTTCATCTCCATGAGAGCACTTTGAAGAGGTACATCAGGATATGGCAGCATGCCTGTATTGTCAGTACTGAGGAGACTGAGGTCTGTCATGAGTTCAAGGGTCATCTGAGGTACAGATGAAGACCCTGTCACAAAAAAAGAGCAAAAGGTAGCTTCTTTTTAATATTAGGGGGCTAGAAAGGAAGGCATTTTTTATACCATAGTGGAAAAGCGGCCCTTTCTATTTTGGTGGTGGCGACATTTTCACTGTCACGTGTCTGTAAGATAATTATAGACATGATCCATAAATAAGGAGAAACATGGGGTGTAACTCGGTACTATGCTTTTTTTTTTTTTTCTAACTAGGTACACATCTAAACCTGAGAGAAAATTAGTCTATGCTATTTTCCTTAAGTGGCCTATCTCAGGAAAGCTGTTTCTTGGACAGCCCATAGGTAGCCTGGGAGAAACAGAGGTAAGAAAAATTTTATCTTGACTGTTCTCTGGGGAGAATACAAATTGTTTTAATTTCAAAAGGGAACTTTCATGTTATCCTCTGGTGCGTAGGGTAAAGTGACTTAAATGAACTTAGACAGTGCAGTGGTGGCAACTGGTTAGCCTCAACTTCTTGAAATTCTGGATGTCATAGTGATGTACTTGGGAACATTTGTACATTGTCTGTGTTTCCAATTACAGGTACAACTACTGGGCCATGGACAACCACTGACCTGGACTTCTTCAAAGCTAAGTGGTATTATAGTGGAGTTGCCACAGCTAAGCCTTCATCAGATGCCCTGTAAATGGGGATGGACTCTCGCACTAACTAATGTAATTTAACCTGCAGCTGAGAGACATATGCTACAGGTACCTCTAACCCCAGGAAATGGCAGCGTTTTAAAAAGTGGCACTAAAGAAATCAGGGAAAAAATGATAAGAAAAAGCAAGTCATTAGGCAATGCAGCCTCCTTTTCTTTTATTCCTAAATTCTTTCTTAAATTGCTCATGTTACTATTTGAACATTTCAATGCTTTTCTACATAGTCTTCTTACTGAATTCATTTTACATGTGAATCTTAGGTGGAAATATGTTTTAGAGAAGCTAGAAACTTATGATGCTATGGCTGAATTTTCTCCCAACTCCTGTACTTATATTGAAGCCTTAACACCCCATGTGGCTGTATTTAGAAACAGAGCCCTTAAAAAGAGATGGTTAAGATTAATCTGAATCATAAGGCTAGCCTTAATACAAGAGGATGTAGTGTCCTGAAAAGGAAATAAAGAGACAACAAAGATGCAAGAGCATAGGGGAAGCCATGTAAAGTGATGGCAAGAAGGCTACCATCTGCAAGGCAAGAAGAGTGAAGAAGAAACCAAATCTCTCAACACCCTAATCTTGGACTTCTGGCACCAAGACTGTGAGAAAAATAACTTCCTGTTGTTGAAGCCATTCAGGATGTGTTTGGCCTCCCCTCACTATGTTACTGAATCCTCATATATAATGCAGGCAGTGTGTAATACATGTGGTTGGCTCTATGTCTCCAGTGACTTCAGTGATTATCTTTTTATTTTAAAGACTTCTATTTGCTGTAGACATTTTGAAATAACAAGTCACCACTTAGATCACCACTGTTAACATTTCAGTTTATATTCTTCCAATTTGGGGACAGAAAGAGGCATGAGATTGAAGGATAGAGTTACATTTTAATAAGGGGTAAAACTCAAGTTGCAAACCTAGTTGAAAATCAGGAAGGTATAGTTAATTACTTTTTTTGTTGCTGTGATAAAACATAATGACCAAAGCAATTTATAGAAGGAGGAGTTTGTTTTGGCTTACAGTGCTAGAAGTAAGAGTCTATCATAGTGTGGAGGTAGAGCAACAAGCAGGCCTGGCAGTTGGAGGCCATAGCTATAGTGGGACTTTCTGGACCTGCCAGCTCTTAAAATAAAACACTGAGACTTATTTTCATTATGACTTAGGCCTTAGCTTGGGCTACCTCCCAGCTAGATCATCTAATTTAATTAATCTGACTATTTTAATCAATGACCCACCATGTGGACCGTTACCCCTCTTTTATTCAGTACCGGCAACTGTTCCCCTCCATGTCATACTGGCCAATCTCATGTATCTGATTCTTCTCCTAGAGACTCTCTCAGCCTGGATGTCCTGCCTCTTCTCTCCTGCTTAAGGAACTTAAGCAGAAAGGCAAACAACTCAAAATAGGATCAGGAAATCCCTGAAGCTGACCAGCTTTACTAGTAATAAAAGTAATACTAGTAAATAATAAAAGTAATAAAAGCTTTGCATCTCCTTCAAGCAGAAGGAAGCTGAGTTATAAAGAAGACTAAGACCAGACTAGCTGCCTGGAGAAGGTCTAGACCGGAGCCACTTGGAAAGATACTCTCCAGTCTGTTGAGCTGGCTATCGGCTGTGCAGTGCACTCCAGGTTCCCAGTTTATGTGAGATGTCAACTGTACTGGGCTGAAATGATCAGTATCCACTCAGACCCACCCAAGATCAAGTTCTCTGCACAAAGACATTTATGTGCTCCAAGGAAACAAAGAACAAGGAATAAGAGACAAAAACTTGAGACAGAGGATGAGGGAGAAGGGGAAGAAAACAAGGGAGAGAGGTCAGGGAGAGTTGTCCTGGGGAACAAAGAACTGCCTTTGGATACAGAGGAGACAGATGTGGCCCGTACACAAATGGTGGTTTATAAAGCTAAAGGGGGAAAACCCATGTTAGGATGAGGTGTTTAATTTTAATTGGACAAGTTAATTAGGTGAGCCAAAGGGAGCTTTTGGTTTCTGGACTTCAATACTTTGATAGCTGGACCTTGGTAGTCAGCCTTAGAAGGAAGAAGTAGCCAAATATGGGAACAGACCTTGGTGGTTAGCTTTAGAAATGTAACCTAATGGTTTTTAGCAAGGCAGAAAGGAATGAGGGAGAAGGGCATGGGCTACCAGTGCCACATGCTCATGTAGACTAGAAACCTTTCTGGGGTGGGCTTTTGTGATGCAGTTATCTCTGAGTCACTTCTGCTCCTGTATTTAATTTCTCACCCACATTTCTGTAAGTAACTCCAATAAAACTCATTGGTTCACCAAGTTGGACTTTGGTAGTATCTGTAATTTGGCCTGTCATGAGTATAGGGTAAAAGGTCCAAGCTTTCTTCCAGATTTGAAAAGCCACCAATACCTGAGCTTAAAACCTCACTACTCCTTGAGCTCAAAAACCTACCAGTTGCTGAGCTCAATCCCACCAGTCCCTGGGTTTGCCTCATTCTCAGGACTTGAAATCTCACCCATTTCCACTTTGGAAAACTCCATTCCCAAGAAACTATATATAAGCCTGTCTCCTGTGTAGTCCCATGCTGCTTCTCCCCTGAACAGAGACAGCCATGTTCTTATGTCTTTCCCAATAAATCTCTAGTGTGCGGTTTGTCGTGTGGTGTGGTATTTGTGGTATTCCTTGGCTGCCAACCACCAGGGTACCTTTCCCTTCAGAACTGCAATGCTTCCATTTTCAGAACTGTGACACTTGCAATGGGGTTAGTAGACAGCTGTGTTAGTAGACACTAGCTGGGGTTAGTAGACAGCTGTGTTGTATCTACTCAAGACAAGTTTTGTCACACAACAGAAGACATGGAATGGAATGTTAGAGTTAAAATAATGTATTAGTTTGTATGTCACCTTGTGAGGGCTATACTGTGATTGTTGATTTTCCTTGTTAATCTAATTGTGTTTGGAACCACCTGCGGGGATGACTCTGGACATATTGTGGGGCCAATTACAGAGAAGTTCAACTTCAGTAGAAAGACTTAACCTGGATACAGGTAACACCATCCCATGGTCTGGGGATGACAGAAAGAAGAAAAGGAGGAGGGGGGGGGAGAAAGAAGGAAAGAAAGAAAAAGAAAGAAAGAAAGAAAGAAAGAAAGAAAGAAAGAAAGAAAGAAA